GTTCTGGATGTTACAAACTGACAGTCCATCCAGCGGGACTATGACCGTTAGCGTTCAGGTTCAGGTACCACCCATCTACACATTCAGTTGTTCTCAGCAGACGCCAGCAACAAGCCAACCGCTACATCGCTGTCGCTCTGTTCACTGAGGGATCTCAGGTCATGCACGCACTAAATGGGGTGATCACGGACCTACCTAATGGGACCTGCGACAGCACGGAGTCGGTGGAGCGCATTAGTACCCCCCTGCGGAAGGTGCTGATTCGAGTATTTGCGGGTCGCAGGCCTGAGGGTATGCAAGTGGGGGATGGTGCATTATAGAGGAATGAGGAATGCCAAAGCGCCCGGCAACACATGCTTGCTTGCAGGGTGCGGCTTGGCCCTGGCAGGGTCGAGAATAAGTCAGGTCCTTTGTGGGAAGTGTTCTGCAAGGAACGTAACGCAATGACTCATTCATACGATTCGGAATCGTGCCAAACGTTGTGCCCGAGCAGCATATGATGCAGATAGAATGCGTGAGTTTGTGGTTAGGTGCAGGCACGATCAGCGTGCATTATGGCGGGCCTTGGGAGGGCAACTCAGGGAGCGTTGTGCAATTGACGACTTGCATGTATTTCGGGATCACTTTGCCACCTTGTTAAACGCAGGAGGTGGGGAGACGGGTGTTGAAGGTGCACATCGGCTCCTTAACTATATCTCCTTTTTTGGGGCCCCTTTGGGAGAGGGCGCTTGGCAAGCATGTCGGACTGTCATGGACAGGAGGGCATGGGCAGCTAGCATCCTTGGATGAGCCTTTCACCTTAGAGAAGGTAGCGCGTGCTGTCGGTAGGTTACCAAACGGAAAGGCTCATGGGCTCGAGGCCGTACCATCGGAATGCAGGCCTCCCACGGGTGGATGAGCAGGGCAGGCAGGGAACGGAGGTGAACTGTATCGTTCCAGTGCTGCACGTTTTGTTAGAGCACATCAGGGCAACTGGTGACTTTCCACAGCAGTTTACCAAAACGGTGGTATCCCCAATTTTGAAGAAGGGTGACCCGTTGGTGGCAGGAAATTATCGGGGCGTTGCAGCTGGCAAGAGCACTTGTGAAGTGCTATGCGTCAGTGATTCTTAACCGTCTGGTACGTGCTGGGAAAATACTGGACCTGCGGCACCCATGCCAAGCAGGCTCCAGGCGGGGTTTTGGCACCGCTCATCACCTCTTTGTCAAGCAACACCTGGTCAGGCGGCATCGGATCGCGGGGCAGCCGCCGTTGATAATAGTACAGATTGACTTTGAGAAGGCCTTTGATAGGGTGCCTCGCGAGCACATGTGGCTTCGGTTGCAGGAGAGGGGGATTAGCGGCCCCATGCTAGATGCTCTGAGAAAAGCGTACGTAGAAGGTGTCCATGGTGATGAAGGTAAATGAGAAAGTGGGGGGAGAGTTTGAGTCTAAGCAAGGCGTGAAGCAAGGGTGTCCTTTATCTACGGAGTTGTTTGGGCTCTTCATTGAGACATTAGCTGATCTGATTGATACTCATGACCTTGTAGAAGCTGGAGTGCGTAAGCATGACACACCCCTTGCGGACAGCAAGCGCGTCTCCATACTGTTGTATTGTATTGTATTGTATTGTGGTTACAGTATTTCCGCCGCCGACGCGGCGGGTGCCCTCACGAGCCGTGAGGCTCCAGAGCACGCTGTTGACGCTCATCAAAAACCTCAGTAAGGAAAGTAGCGATTTTCCTCGGATTGGTATTAAGAAATACCTTGCGCATATCAGTATCTTCAACGTTAATCAGAAACCTATTACGCAACTCAGTATACGCCTCACACTCCATGAGCACATGATATTCATCCTCAACCTTACCCGACGTACAGACCTGACACGTACGGCACTCTCTCGGCCTATGGTGTCCTTTGTTGACCTCCAAAGGCCAACAACAAAGACGGAATTTGGCAACCATACGCAACTGGTTGACCGGCAAATAAACACGCACATAGCCTGTGGGATCGGAGCCCTCTCTTGCTGGTGAAGGGGAGCCCATCCAGTTATGATACCTGCAAAGCGAAACCCCTTTACCTTGGAACACACGCGGATCACCCCCTTGGCTGAACTGATCCCAGTCACTTAAAAGGAACGCAGATAACCTCTCCAGAACCTCACCCACTCGAATCAACTGAGACGAGTATACATCTACCTTCTGAGAAACGGAGTCACACGCCGGCCACTCATGGCCCAACCAACGCAAAATGATGAGCACTTTAGACGACCAGCAATCCACTTTGAGATCAGACAGAAGAGCCAGACGGAGATCATCTACTAACACGTCATGATAGACCGACCCACGGGACTTGACTATCTTATTCCAGAAACACAACGCAAGGCGTAACCAAAAGTACTGCAAAGGCAACTGAGACAGCTCCCTGTACAACAGCTTGTAAGGTACCTGCTTGAGCCCAGCACA